CCAGTTATCTCACCTAGAGATCCTGTATTAGCCCTACTGTAGATATTCCTTGTTTTACTTTGCCAGTTATCTCACCTAGAGATCCTGTATTAGCGCTACTGTAGATATTCCTTGTTTTACTTTGCCAGTTATCTCACCTAGAGATGAGTACAGGAGCTATGGCGGAAGATCTTATCACCAAAACAAAAATCATTGAACACTATGTCATGGATAGCCGAACAGGTGAGTAGCTATATCTTACATTATATTCCAAGTGATAAGCCCATTAGGCTAGTGCCAGAAAAATTGGTCAAAAGAGTGGGGGGGCTTACAACTGGATGTGAGCCTGTAGTGTTGCTGTCACATATCAAATAACTTATGATTTACAGATCAGACAGGACCAACATGAGGAAAATACGAATTACGAATGTTTAAAATTTTACGTTACTGTGTACTGAATGTCATGCAGTGCTGGTCAGCACATTTGATGGAAATTCCATTGTAAATGTTTCAAAGATGACAAATACATGGATATAATTCCAAATTTCATTTTGCACTTTGTTACAGGTTCTGTGAATGGCCAATAGTAGCACGCGTGACCCAAAAAACAGCTGTTAATATTAGTATGAATGGCTGTTTTTCCAATGGACTGATTTTAAAATTTTCCAAATCCCCATTTTCCAGTGTTGTCATTCGAGTGGTCTCCCATTGCAAAAACTTAACTCACTGTGAAAAAAATGCAAGATCTACTGTTTATCATTAATGTTTTGTTATTGTATCTTTGTCTTAGTTTTCATTATTTTATGTATCAGAGGTTTTAAAAGAAATAACTTTAATCTATAGTTGACCATACTCACAAAAGTGACAAGTTCTGTCGTAACCGGATCAGTTTTTGCAAAAATACTTTGAAATCAACAGATTAGTTAAAACAATTATGTAGCCTTAGAATAGATAACCATGCACCATTTTTTGTCTACAGATGGTTAGTGTTAGTTCAAATAGCACCAGAAAACGTGATTCAAACTCAGTGTTTTGTTTACGTTTTTAAAAGATGGCGCATAGGACGACTATGCATTCTGTTTTGGACTATAGGAATAAATTCACACTAAAAAAATACTTGTTTTCATATAAATTCTGACAGTCATCATATAATGTTAATATGCTGACAAAAAAATAATCATTTGAAGTGTAAGGTACTGCAAAAGGCTTGATCCGATTTGGGTCCTGACATTCGCAAAAACTGAAAACGCTGATTGGTGACGTCAGAGCGCTTGATTAATATCTCGCGTGAGCCCCGGGTGCTAATTTTGTTCGTAAGAACACCCATCAATACTCTTCCTTTGATACAACCATAAATGAATATAATTACTTTGTAAGGCATGTTCAGAAATAATATTCAGCGATAATATCCAGCTTCCGTGTGTCCAGATACAATACAATTACTGTACGTTTAACTTGTTAGCCTGCAGGTATTATCACACATTATGTATAGCAATTCACTATGATAATTGGTGATGAATCGATACCCTTCACTATTTTAAACTTTCGTTAGATGTTCTCATTAAAATAGAAATCAAAGATTACAAAGTCATGGATGGTTGATCAGATAAGTCCACAAAACAAGCCTAAAACAATGGAGAGAAACATGACTCTATTTGTATGCCAATGTACAAAGACATTGAATGTATGAATAGACCTAAATGTTTATTATTTCATCAAATTGTAGATCCCAAACCACACAGTGCTAGCCATGAGGACAAGCTCACATTGAAAAAAGTACTGGACCTTGTTAACAGGTCTGATGAACAAGGGCTGAAGGAGATGAACAGAAAGTTACAACGCATGCTGGAGGAAACCCTCACTAAGAACATGCACCTCCAAAAGGTATGTGTCTGCTAGTGTTGTACTGGTCACCTCCAAAAGGTAGGTGACTGCTAGTGTTGTACTGGTCACCTCCAAAAGGTAGGTGTCTGCTAGTGTTGTACTGGTCACCTCCAAAAGGTAGGTGTCTGCTAGTGTTGTACTGGTCACCTCCAAAAGGTAGGTGTCTGCTAGTGTTGTACTGGTCACCTCCAAAAGGTAGGTGTCTGCTAGTGTTGTACTGGTCACCTCCAAAAGGTAGGTGTCTGCTAGTGTTGTACTGGTCACCTCCAAAAGGTAGGTGTCTGCTAGTGTTGTACTGGTCACCTCCAAAAGGTAGGTGTCTGCTAGTGTTGTACTGGTCACCTCCAAAAGGTAGGTGTCTGCTAGTGTTGTACTGGTCACCTCCAAAAGGTAGGTGTCTGCTAGTGTTGTACTGGTCACCTCCAAAAGGTAGGTGTCTGCTAGTGTTGTACTGGTCACCTCCAAAAGGTAGGTGTCTGCTAGTGTTGTACTGGTCACCTCCAAAAGGTAGGTGTCTGCTAGTGTTGTACTGGTCACCTCCAAAAGGTAGGTGTCTGCTAGTGTTGTACTGGTCACCTCCAAAAGGTAGGTGTCTGCTAGTGTTGTACTGGTCACCTCCAAAAGGTAGGTGTCTGCTAGTGTTGTACTGGTCACCTCCAAAAGGTAGGTGTCTGCTAGTGTTGTACTGGTCACCTCCAAAAGGTAGGTGTCTGCTAGTGTTGTACTGGTCACCTCCAAAAGGTAGGTGTCTGCTAGTGTTGTACTGGTCACCTCCAAAAGGTAGGTGTCTGCTAGTGTTGTACTGGTCACCTCCAAAAGGTAGGTGTCTGCTAGTGTTGTACTGGTCACCTCCAAAAGGTAGGTGTCTGCTAGTGTTGTACTGGTCACCTCCAAAAGGTAGGTGTCTGCTAGTGTTGTACTGGTCACCTCCAAAAGGTAGGTGTCTGCTAGTGTTGTACTGGTCACCTCCAAAAGGTAGGTGTCTGCTAGTGTTGTACTGGTCACCTCCAAAAGGTAGGTGTCTGCTAGTGTTGTACTGGTCACCTCCAAAAGGTAGGTGTCTGCTAGTGTTGTACTGGTCACCTCCAAAAGGTAGGTGTCTGCTAGTGTTGTACTGGTCACCTCCAAAAGGTAGGTGTCTGCTAGTGTTGTACTGGTCACCTCCAAAAGGTAGGTGTCTGCTAGTGTTGTACTGGTCACCTCCAAAAGGTAGGTGTCTGCTAGTGTTGTACTGGTCACCTCCAAAAGGTAGGTGTCTGCTAGTGTTGTACTGGTCACCTCCAAAAGGTAGGTGTCTGCTAGTGTTGTACTGGTCACCTCCAAAAGGTAGGTGTCTGCTAGTGTTGTACTGGTCACCTCCAAAAGGTAGGTGTCTGCTAGTGTTGTACTGGTCACCTCCAAAAGGTAGGTGTCTGCTAGTGTTGTACTGGTCACCTCCAAAAGGTAGGTGTCTGCTAGTGTTGTACTGGTCACCTCCAAAAGGTAGGTGTCTGCTAGTGTTGTACTGGTCACCTCCAAAAGGTAGGTGTCTGCTAGTGTTGTACTTGTCACCTCCTAAAGGTATGTGTCTGCTAGTGTGTACTGGTCACCTCTTAAAGGTAGGTGACTGCTAGTGTTGTACTGGTCACCTTCAAAAGGTAGGTGTCTGCTAGTGTTGTACTGGTCACCTCCAAAAGATAGGTGTCTGCTAGTGTTGTACTGGTCACCACCAAAAGGTAGGTGTCTGCTAGTGTTGTACTGGTCACCACCAAAAGGTAGGTGTCTGCTAGTGTTGTACTGGCCACCTCCAAAAGTTAAGTGACTGTAAGTGTCGTACTGGTCACCTCCAAAAGGTAGGTGACTGCTAGTGTTGTACTGGTCACCTCCAATAGGTAGGTGTCTGCTAGTGTGTACTGGTCACCTCCTCAAGGTAGGTGTCTGCTAGTGTTGTACTGGTCACCTCCAAAAGTTAAGTGACTGTAAGTGTTGTACTGGTCACCTCCAAAAGGTAGGTGTCTGCTAGTGTGTACTGGTCACCTCCTCAAGGTAGGTGTCTGCTAGGGTTGTACTGGTCACCTCCTAAAGGTAGGTGACTGCTAGCGTTGTACTGGTCACCTCCAAAAGGTAGGTGTCCGCTAGTGTGTACTGGTCACCTCCTAAAGGTAGGTGTCTGCTAGTCTTGTACTGGTCACCTCCAAAAGTTAAGTGACGGTAAGTGTTGTACTGGTCACCTCGAAAAGGTAGGTGTCTGCTAGTGTTGTACTGGTCGCCTCCAAAAGTTAAGTGACTGCAAGTGTTGTACTGGTCCCCTCCAAAAGGTAGGTGTCTGCTAGTGTTGTACTGGTCCCCTCCAAAAGGTAGGTGTCTGCTAGTGTTGTACTGGTCGCCTCCAAAAGTTAAGTGACTGCAAGTGTTGTACTGGTCACCTCCAAAAGGTAGGTGTCTGCTAGTGTTGTACTGGTCACTTCCAATAGGTAGGTGTCTGCTAGTGTGTACTGGTCACCTCCTAAAGGTAGGTGACTGCTAGTGTTGTACTGGTCACCTCCAAAAGGTAGGTGTCTGCTAGTGTTGTACTGGTCACCTCCTAAAGGTAGGTGTCTGCTAGTGTTGTACTGGTCACCTCCAAAAGTTAAGTGACTGCAAGTGTTGTACTGGTCACCTCCAAAAGGTAGGTGTCTGCTAGTGTTGTACTGGTCACCTCCAAAAGGTAGGTGTCTGCTATTGTGTACTGGTCAACTCCTAAAGGTAGGTGACTGCTAGTGTTGTACTGGTCACCTCCTAAAGGTAGGGGACTGCTAGTGTTGTACTGGTCACCTCCAAAAGTTAAGTGACTGCAAGTGTTGTACTGGTCCCCTCCAAAAGGTAGGTGTCTGCTAGTGTTGTACTGGTCTCCTCCAAAAGGTAGGTGTCTGCTAGTGTGTACTGGTCACCTCCTAAAGGGAGGTGACTGCTAGTGTTGTACTGGTCACCTCCAAAAGGTAGGTGTCTGCTATTGTGTACTGGTCAACTCCTAAAGGAAGGGGACTGCTAGTGTTGTACTGGTCACCTCCTAAAGGAAGGTATCTGCTAGTGTTGTACTGGTCTCCTCCAAAAGGTAGGTGTCTGCTAGTGTGTACTGTTCCCCTCCTAAAGGTAGGTATCTGCTAGTGTTGTACTGGTCACCTCCAAAAGGGAGGTGTCTGCTTGTGTTGTACTGGTCACCTCCAAAAGGAAGGTGTCTGCTAGTGTTGTACTGGTCACCTCCAACAGGTAGGTGTCTGCTATTGTGTATTGGTCAACTCCTAAAGGTAGGTGACTGCTAGTGTTGTACCGGTCACCTCCTAAAGGTAGGTGACTGCTAGCGTTGTACTGGTCACCTCCAAAAGGTAGGTGTCTGCTAGTGTTGTACTGGTCACCTCCTAAAGGAAGGTATCTGCTAGTGTTGTACTGGTCACCTCCAAAAGGTAGGTGTCTGCTAGTGTTGTACTGGTCCCCTCAGAAAAGGTACGGGACTGCTAGTGTTGTACTGGTCACCACCTAAAGGCAGGTGTCTGCTAGTGTTGTACTGGTCACCTCCTAAAGGCAGGTGTCTGCTAGTGTTGTACTGGTCACCTCCTAAAGGCAGGTGTCTGCTAGTGTTGTACTGGTCACCTCCTAAAGGTAGGTGACTGCTAGTGTTGTACTGGTCACCTCCTCAAGGTAGGTGTCTGCTAGAGTGTACTGGTCACCTCCAAAAGGTAGGTGTCTGCTAGTGTTGTACTGGTCACCTCAGAAAAGGTACGGGACTGCTAGTGTTGTACTGGTCACCACCTAAAGGCAGGTGTCTGCTAGTGTTGTACTGGTCACCTCCTAAAGGTAGGTGACTGCTAGTGTTGTACTGGTCACCTCCAAAAGGTAGGTGTCTGCTAATGTTGTACTGGTCACCTCCTAAAGGTAGTTGTCTCCTAGTGTTGTACTGGTCACCTCCAACAGGTAGGTGTCTGCTAGTGTTGTACCTCCAACAGGTAGGTGTCTGCTAGTGTTGGACTGGTCACCTCCAAAAGGTAGGTGTCTGCTAGTGTTGTACTAGTCACCTCCAAAAGATAGGTGTCTGCTAGTGTTGTACTGGTCACCTCCTAAAGGTAGGTGACTGCTAGTGTTGTACTGGTCACCTCCAAAAGGTAAGTGTCTGCTAGTGTTGTACTGGTCACCTCCAACAGGTTGGTGTCTGCTAGTGTTGTACCTCCAACAGGTAGGTGTCTGGTAGTGTTGTACTGGTCACCTCCAAAAGGTAGGTGTCTGCTAGTGTTGTACTGGTCACCTCCAACAGGTAGGTGTCTGCTAGTGTTGTACTGGTCACCTCCAAAAAGTTGGCCTTATTGCTTTTTTGCTACTTCTCTGGAACTAAAAGATGAATATCAACCATATTTGGTTGGAAGTTTTCTCAGGTGCAGGGGATTCAATTTTTACCAGTTGAAGGGCTTATCCCCCTCTGGTGGCTGGGAGGCAGGACCAATCAGTTTCTTTCATTATTTTCCATAAATCGCTGAGTATAAAAAAGACACAAACAAATATTCTCCCAGAATGGCTCCAGGTCTGGCCCAACTCATGGAGACTAAGTCATTTGGTCATTATTTTTAAATGGTTGAGATCGCAGTCCCATAACCATATATTTATACAGTTGCTAAGCACAAAGCAACAGCTATAATAATGATAGTTGAATTGACACTTTGGTCTGGCCACACCTCTAAAAACTGGTTCCTAGGTCATTATTTAGAAACTTTTGAGATCCCCACCCTTAAGCCATAATTACTGGGCACACACTGATGAATACAGTCATGGTATTAGAATTTGACCCTGTCATAATCTTTGAGACCCTAACCCTGTTATGATACATTGTGTATATGCGTTTGCTTAGTTTGAAGATTTTGATACACATATGCTGGAAAGATTGGCCCAGGGGGGACTTGCCCTACCCTTCAGCCTTTTTTTGCCATACCAATGTCATTGAGGATCTTTTGCCATGATTGCTGAAATATCCAGGTGTGCAATACATGCCCTCT